CCCTGTCGCCTTTGAGGTATCTGGCTCGGTTAACAGCCTCTTGACTTCTTCCTCGGTTGTATGTATTGTGTCCAGCACTTGATGGTGTACCCCACCTCTCTACCTTTCTGAAGGCCTTTCTGTCTCCTTCGTGAACACTTCCTTGAATCTCATGTCGAGTTCCTCACATACTTCAGGGTCGTTTTTTGTGATCTCCCTTCCTTCCTTCCTTCCTCAGCCTGATAACCTGGTCATTGACTGTTGTTTTCCTCCTGATGTGGCTGTACAACAGCTTTGGGTCAAATTTGGCTTTCGCAGCTATGTTATGCTCATACTGCCTTAGGGCCTCCCATCTTACCTTTGTATATTTGTGTGTGTGTGTGTGTGTTGTGTGTGTGTGTGTGTGTGTGTGTGTGTGTGTGTGTGTGTGTGTGTGTGTGTACCCACCTAGTTACTCACCTAGTTGAGGTTGCAGGGGTCGAGTCCTAGTTCCTGGCCCCGTCTCTTCACTGGTCGCTACTAGGTCACTCTCCCTGAACCGTGAGCTTTATCATACCTCTGCTTAAAGCTATGTATGGATCCTGCCTCCACTTCATCGCTTCCCAAACCATTCCATTTTCTGACTACTCTGTGACTGAAGGAATACTTCCTAACATCCCTGTGATTCATCTGTATCTTCAACTTCCAACTGTGTTCCCTTGTTGCTGTGTCCAATCTCTGGAACATCCTGTCTTTGTCCACCTTGTCAATTCCTCTTAGTATTTCGTATGTCGTTTTCATGTCCCCCTATCTCAACTGTCCTCTAGTGTCGTCTGGTCAATTTCCTTAAACCTCCTCTGTAGGACATTCCTTTTGTTTGGGGCTAGTTTGTTGAAAACCTTTGCAATTTCTCTAGTTTTTACGTGCTTGACGAGGTGTGGGTTCCAAACTGGTGCCTAACGTACACGGTGTTCATGGTCCTGAACGATTCCTTATTAAGATGTCGGAATGCTGTTCTGAGGTTTGCTAGGTGCCCATATGCTGCAGCAGTTATTTGGTTGATATGCGCTTCAGGAGATGTGCCTGGTGTTATCCCAACCAAAGATCTTTTCCTGAGTGAGGTTTTGTAGTCCTCCCCCCCCCTAGACTGTACTTCGTCCTCGGTCTTCTTTGCCTTTCCCCAATTTTCGTGACTTTGCACTTAGTGGAGTTGAACTATTATTATTTATTTTATTATCACACCGGCCGACTCCCACCAAGGCAGGGTGGCCCGAAAAAAAAAAAAACTTTCCCATCATTCCCCCCCCCCCATCACTGTCTTGCCAGAAGGGTGTTTACACTACGTTTTTAAACGCAACTTTAAACCCACCCCCCCTTTCAGAATGCAGGCACTGTATTCCCTCTCCAGGATCAAGCCCGGCCTGCCGGTTTCCTTGAATCCCTTCATAAATGATACTTTGCTCACACTCCAACAGACGTCAAGTATTAAAAACCATTTGTCTCCTTTCACTCCTATCAAAAACGTCATGCATGCCGCGGGAAAAGCCCAAACCCCCTCGAACACAAAAACCTACTTTACCCCCTCCCTCCAACCTTTCCCTAGGCCGACCCCTACCCCGCCTTTCCTTCCACTACAGATGTACACTCTTGAGTCCTCTGTTCGCTCCATTTCTCTACATTTTCCCCAAACCACCTCAAAAAAACCCTTCCTCACCCCTCTGGACAACAGTTTTGGTAACCCGCACCTCCTCCAAAATTTCCCAAAAATACGAATTCTCTGCATTTTACTACACCACACATTGCCCTCGACATGACATCTCCACTGCTCCGCCTTCTCCTCGTGCAACTTTTCATCCCCCCATGCTTCACACCCATAAAGGCGTTGGTAAAAATATACTCCATTTTCCCCCTCTTTGCCTCCAGGACAAGTTTTTTTGTTCCACAGACTCCAAAAGTGCACCTTTCACCCTTTTTCCCCTCATAAATTCTATGTTCACCTCATTTTTCATAGACCCATCCGCTGACAGCCCCACCCCCAAAATATCTGAAAAATTCACCCCCCATCTCTCTCCCCCCAATCTGATATCCAATCTTTCATACCTAATCTTTTTGTTATCCTCTAACCTTACTTTTTCCCTGTATTCATTTTAAATTTTTCTTCTTTTGCACACCCTAAAAATTCATCCACCAACTCTGAACTTCTCTTCAGAATCTTCCCAAAGGAAGGTCTCAGCAAAGAGAACGTGAAACTCCCCTTTATTGGTTCTTTGTCTTTTAACTCCACGCCTCTTGCCAGACCCTGATTTATTCTCTTAAACCCATTTTTAAAAATATATTAAAAAAACCCCACGGTGACTCAACATCCTTTCTAAGGCCTATTTTACTGGGAAATAAATTTTCCCCCTTTCCTACTACTCTAACTTGAGCCTCATTCCTGTAAAAAACTCTTCACTGTTTTAGTAACCTACCTCCTACACCATACACCGCAAATCGCAATTGCCCCCTATCCACCCTGCTTCGCCTTTTCCAAATCCATAAAGCCACAAAGACCCCTTTGTTATCTAAAAATGTTACTTATATGTTTCACTGTAAACACCCGGTCCACAAAACCCCCCTTTCCTTTCCCCTAAGGCCTCCTTGTTCATCGTACCATTCTCCGTCTTACTCTTATTCTTTTAATAATAACTCTCCCTACACTTTACCAGGTATATCAACAGACTTACCCTTTATAATTTTTGCACTCTCTTTGCCCCTTTGCCTTTTATACAAAAGGAACTTGCATGCTCTCTGCCAATCCCCGGTACCCTTACCCTCTTCCATACATTTATTAAATAATTGCACCAACCCTCCAAAAATATATCCCCACCGCTTTTAACATTTCTATCTTTTCCCATAATCCCCCGGAGCCTTCCCTCTTTCTTTTTCCCACTTCCCCCCCCTCACAAAGGCTCTTCCTACTCTACAATTGGGTTTTTCCTCCTGCCCAACACGAAATCACAGCTTCCTATCTTCATCAACATTTAACAATTCCTCAATATTCCTCCCTCTTCCCAAAACCTCTAAATTTCCATTTAAAAAACTCTCCTTCGGGTTTTAACTGACAAATCCCTTTGTTTTTCTAGGCTTCCTTAATTGTTAATCCCCTCCAAAAATTTTCTTATTTTAAACAAATTTGTTTATAAACATTCACCCACTCTTCATTTTTATCTCTTTTTACATTGCTTTACCACTTTTCCCAACCTCTCTTTTTTTTCCCTATACTCTTTCTCCCCTTCACGCTTTACTTTGTAAAAAAATTCTCTATGCTAAATTTTTTTTCCCCTTTTATTCTTTTTTCTCATATTCCACCCAAGCTCCTCTTCCCCCCCGCACCCCCTTTCCTGTAACCACAAACTTTGCTGAAAATTAACATTTCATTTTTAAACCTACCCCTACCTCTTGACCCCATTTCCTATGCTCTCATTAGCTTCTTCCTCCAATGTGTTTATATTTTCCCTAACTCCTCCTCTTTTTGTTTATAAATTCACCTCTCCTTCCCTGTGCTTCTATACTCCTTGTTCCCCCTCTCCTTTTTTCTCTCACTGTAGCTACAACTAGAAAAGTGATCTGATATATTGAGGCCCCTTATAAAAATGTACATCCTGATATCAAACAGTCTTTTATCTACCAATAATAATCCAAAAAAACACTTCATTTCGCCCTACATCATATTTGTATACTTATTTATCCTTTTTTTTAAAAAATGTTTACTATAACTAAACCCCTTTTTATACAAAGTTTAATCAAGGGCTCCCATTATCAATTACACCTGGACCCCAAACTTAAACCCACCACCCTCTTAAGAGTTTCTCCTACTTTAGCATTTTAGGCCCTACCTCAAATTTCTCTCTCACTTGGTTCTCAATTGGGTCCAGGACCAATTGCGGCCCGGTCTACGCCTGTGCAGATCCCTTTGTGTTCTGCCCGGTCTTCGCCGATGAATTCTTCTCATCAACTTCATGTCATCTGCAAACAGGGACACTTCGGAATCTTTTCCTTCTGTCATGTCGTTCACAAATACCAGAAACAGCACCGGTCCTAGGACTGACCCCTATGGGACCCCGCTGGTCACAGGCGCCCACTCTGACACCTCGCCACGTACCATGACTCGCTGCTTTTTTCCTGACAAGTATTCCCTGATCCATTGTAGTGCCTTCCTTTTTATCCGTGCCTTGTCCTCCAGTTTTTGCACTAATCTCTTGTGTGGAACTGTGTCAAACTCCTTCTTAGAGTCCAAGAAAATGCAATCTACCCACCCCTCTCTCTCTTGTCTTACTGCTGTCACCCTGTTATAGAACTCCAGTAGGTTTGTGACACAGGATTTCCTGTCTCTGAATCCATGTTGGCTACTGTTGATGAGATCATTCCTTTCTAGGTGTTCCACCACTCTTCTGATAATCTTGTGTGTGTGTGTGTGTGTGTGTGTGTGTGTGTGTGTGTGTGTGTGTGTGTGTGTGTGTGTGTGTGATATAATGTATAATATAGTATAATGGCCCATCTATCTAAGGAATCAGACCAATAAGAGAGAGAGATAAGATTTCGTTCGGATTTTTAACCCCGGAGGGTTAGCCACCCAGGATAACCCAAGAAAGTCAGTGCGTCATCGAGGACTGTCTAACTTATTTCCATTGGGGTCCTTAATCTTGTCCCCCAGGATGCGACCCACACCAGTCGACTAACACCCAGGTACCTATTTGCTGCTAGGTGAACAGGACAACAGATGTAAGGAAACGTGTCGAAATGTTTCCACCCGCCGGGAATCGAACCCGGGCCCTCCGTGTGTGAAGCGGGAGCTTTAGCCACCAGGCCACCGGGCCACCTCTCCTGTTGATTAATCCTGGTTACCTCTCGTTCATCATGCCCTGTTGGAATGTAAGATTTAATGCTTCCCCATAACAGGAGTACAGTATCTTGTTGAGACAAAAAGGAAAGATTAGGCAGGCATAAAATGTAATAAATGTGTAAACAGAATGGTACTCAAAATAAACGTGCTGTATGGGTACCTTGACAAGGTCGTGAGTCCCATACGCTTTGTCGAGCCTGATGCTCCAGTCTCTGATGACCAGCTGACTGACGGTGGTGGGTGGGACGTCTCTCACTGGCCGCGAAAGGAAGGCTGTCAGGTTACCACTGTACACTCCAAACACCACTATCGCCACTAACAACATAAACACGTACACAAGCCGTCCTGGCATACTTGGAGGCGTGTGGCTCGAACCTGTGTGAAGGATGCAAGAGGCTAAACACACACTCACACACACACACACACACACACACACACACACACACACACACACACACACACACACACACACACACACACACACACACACACAATAAGACAGATAAGAAGGGAGGCTCAGAGACAATATGAAAATGACATAGCATCGAAAGTTAAGACTGACCCGAAGCTGTTGTACAGCCACATTAGGAGGAAAACAACAGTCAAGGACCAGGTAATCAGACTGAGGAAGGGTGATGGGGAGTTCACAAGAAACGACCGAGAGGTATGTCAGGAGCTCAACACGAGATTTAAGGAAGTATTTACAGTGGAAACCAGTAGGACTCCTGGAAATCAAAACAGGGGGGTACACCAGCAAGTGCTGGATGAGGTACATATAACCAAGGAGGAGGTGAAGAAGCTGCTATGCGAACTTGACACCTCAAAGGTGTGTGTGCCATTAACAAAGATCTTCGACACATCATTTGAAACTGGGCAACTCCCTGAGGTATGGAAGATAGCAAATGTAGTCCCAATTTTTAAAAGGGGAGACAGACATGAGGCACTAAACTACAGACCTGTATCACTAACGTGTATAGTATGCGAGGTCATGGAGAAGATCATCAGGAGGAGAGTGGTGAAGCACCTGGAAAGAAACAAGTGTATAATTGACAACCAGCACGGTTTCAGGGAAGGAAAATCCTGTGTCACAAACCTACTAGAGTTTTATGACGAGGTGACAGAAGTTCCTATTATGTAATCTCTTGCTTCTCCTCAGTTTCCTCTCGCCAGCTCATCAAAATCCCATCGGTTTTTGATCAGCAGTTCCACTTCTCCACCCCCTCTCTTCCCTCTGTCTTTCCTCAGGATCTGATATTCCATTGGAAAGATGGCATCTGTTATGATCCTGGTGAGCTTGGTTTCTGTGAGGGCTATGATGTTCGGTGATGCCTCTTTGATCTTTCGTGCCACTCCTCCCACTTATTCGTTATTTCATCAGCGTTGGTGTTTCATACCTTCAGTTTCCTCTCCAACACTGTGTTTTGGGGGATCTGTGAGGATGGGGGACCTGGCAGTGTGCTGCGGGATTCTACAGTGTAGTGTGGGGTGGGGGCTGTGAGTGTGGATTGTGAGTGTGGAATTGTGTTTGGTTGTGTGTGTGTTTGCTCTTCCCTGCTCTGGTTGTCCTCTGCCGATTCTGTCCTTGACTCTCTTCCTAGCTCCTTTCGCTTTTGTGTCCTCTCCCTCAGCTGCTGTCGTTTTATTTTTGTTCTGTCCTGAAAATCAGCATGATCGGCCATTTTCTCCCCTTCAAGTACCCCCTATTCTCTGAAAATTTACAATCTCAGACATGTGTGTGTACGTGTGTGTGTATTTTTCATTGACAATAAGGTTAAAATTTATAATTATTTTACCAAAGCTAACCTGAAGCCTCACGTAACCTGCTCTAAGTTAACGTAATTGTTATTTAGTCAAATTCTACTAAATGTATCATAGCTCATTTAAATTTATTCAGAATTACTCAAAACAGAAATAACGCGAATATTTTTGGTTAAGAAAGCCACATTTCACCGAAACTTTGCATTAATTAAGGCTCATGCTGCTTTAAGTGTTTCGGTCCGTCTGGAACCGTCGTCACCAAGTCAGGCTTGACAATCCACCGCTTACCTTGGTTGAGGAAGGCTTTCGTAACAGTTGTAAGCACACAGAGGAAGGGAGGTCTCTTATTATCCTGATAATGTCTGCTTCTGGGCGCCAAACCTGACATTTCCTCGTTGATCCTAGCCCCCGGGTTTCTGGGTGTCACAGAGGGCCAAAATAGCCACACACATGATGCGGAGAAAGCCAGAAACCCACCAATAGCACTCCATGCCTGTTAGTCGGAGGAGGATGTTGAATTAGTTTTGAGGATTATCGACTGCCCTTAGTTGCATAATATTTAAATACTTAGAAAGAGGGATAAAAGTAAACTTAGTTTACCTGCGTAGAAAGATACCTGGAGTTTACCTGGAGAGAGTTCCGGGGGTCAACGCCCCCGCGGCCCGGTCTGTGACCAGGCCTCCTGGTGGATCAGAGCCTGATCAACCAGGCTGTTGCTGCTGGCTGCACGCAAACCAACGTACGAGCCACAGCCCGGCTGGTCAGGAACCGACTTTAGGTGCTTGTCCAGTGCCAGCTTGAAGACTGCCAGGGGTCTGTTGGTAATCCCCCTTATGTGTGCTGGGAGGCAGTTGAACAGTCTCGGGCCCCTGACACTTATTGTATGGTCTCTTAACGTGCTAGTGACACCCCTGCTTTTCATTGGGGGATGGTGCATCGTCTGCCAAGTCTTTTGCTTTCATAGTGAGTGATTTTCGTGTGCAAGTTCGTACTAGTCCCTCTAGGATTTTCCAGGTGTATATAATCATGTATCTCTCCCTCCTGCTTCCAGGGAATACAGGTTTAGGAACCTCAAGCACTCCCAGTAATTGAGGTGTTTTATCTCCGTTATGCGCGCCGTGAAAGTTCTCTGTACATTTTCTAGGTCGGCAATTTCACCTGCCTTGAAAGGTGCTGCTAGTGTGCAGCAATATTCCAGCCTAGATAGAACAAGTGACCTGAAGAGTGTCATCATGGGCTTGGCCTCCCTAGTTTTGAAGGTTCTCATTATCCATCCTGTCATTTTTCTAGCAGATGTGATTGATACAATGTTATGGTCCTTGAAGGTGAGATCCTCCGACATAATCACTCTCAGGTCTTTGACGTTGGTGTTTCGCTCTATTTTGTGGCCAGAATTTGTTTTGTACTCTGATGAAGATTTAATTTCCTCATGTTTACCATATCTGAGTAATTGAAATTTCTCATCGTTGAACTTCATATTGTTTTCTGCAGCCCACTGAAAGATTTGGTTGATGTCCGCCTGGAGCCTTGCAGTGTCTGCAATGGAAGACACTGTCATGCAGATTCGGGTGTCATCTGCAAAGGAAGACACGGTGCTGTGGCTGAAAATCCTTGTCTATGTCGGATATTTAGGATGAGGAACAAGATGGGGGCGAGTACTGTGCCCTTTTGGAACAGAGCTTTTCACCATAGCTGCCTCGGACTTTACTCTGTTGACGACTACTCTCTGTGTTCTGTTAGAAGAAATTATAGATCCATCGACCGACTTTTCCTGTTATTCCTTTAGCACGCATTTTGTGGGGCTATTACGCCATGGTCACACTTGTCGAAGGCTTTTGCAAAGTCTGTATATATTACATCTGCATTCTTTTTGTCTTCTAGTGCATTTAGGACCTTGTCGTAGTGATCCAATAGTTGAGACAGACAGGAGCGACCTGTTCTAAACCCATGTTGCCCTGGTTGTGTAACTGATGGGTTTCTAGATGGGTGGTGATCTTTCCTCTTAGGACCCTTTCAAAGATTTTTATGATATGGGATGTTAGTGCTATTGGTCTGTAGTTCTTTGATGTTGCTTTACTGCCCCTTTGTGGAGTGGGGCTATGTCTGTTGTTTTTAGTAACTGTGGGACGACCCCGTGTCCATGCTCCCTCTCCATAGGATGGAAAAGGCTCGTGATAGGGGCTTCTTGCAGTTCTTGATGAACACAGAGTTCCATGAGTCTGGCCCTGGGGCAGAGTGCATGGGCATGTCATTTATCGCCTGTTCGAAGTCATTTGGCGTCAGGATAACATCGGATAGGCTTGTGTTAATCAAATTTTGTGGCTCTCTCATAAAAAATTCATTTTGATCTTCGACTCTCAGTCTGGTTAGCGGCTTGCTAAAAACTGAGTCATATTGGACTTGAGTAGCTCACTCATTTCCTTGCTGTCATCGTGTAGGACCCATCTTGTTTAAGTAGGGGCTCAATACTGGACGTTGTTCTCGATTTTGATTTGGCATAGGAGAAGAAATACTTTGGGTTTCTTTCGTTTTCATTTATGGCTTTTAGTTCTTCCCGCGATTCCTGAACTCCTAAAGGATTCTTTTAGCATAAGTTCGATGCTTGCTATTTCTCTGACCAGTGTCTCCCTACGCATTTCAGATATATTGACCTCTTTAGCCGCTCTGTTATTCTTTTCCGTCGCCTGTAAAGGGAGCGCCTGTCTCTTTCTATTTTACATCTACTCCTCCTTTTTCTTAGAGGAATAAGCCTTGTGCATACATCGAGTGCCAACCGAGTTAATCTGTTCTAGGCATAAGTTGGGGTCTGTGTTGCTTAGTATATCTTCCCAGCTTATATCGGTTAGGACTTGGTTTACTTGGTCCCACTTTATGTTTTTGTTATTGAAGTTGAATTTGGTGAATGTTCCCTCGTGACTAGTCTCATTATGTCGGTCTGGGGCTCCACGCATACATGTCTGAACCTCAATTATGTTGTGATCTGAGTATATTGTTTTTGATATGGTGACATTTCTTATCAGATCATCATTGTTAGTGAAGATGAGGTCTAGTGTATTCTCCAGTCTAGTAGGCTCTATTATTTGCTGGTTTTAAATTGAATTTGTGCAGAGATTTAAAAGCTCGTGTGAGTGTGAGTTTTCATCAGAGCTGCCTCCTGGTGTTATTACTGCAACAATATTATTTGCTATATTCCTCCATTTTAGGTTCCTTAAGTTGAAATCCCCCAGGAGCAAGATGTTGGGTGCAGGAGCTGGAAGATTTTCCAGACAGTGGTCAATTTTTAACAGCTGTTCCTGGAATTGCTGGGATGTTGCATCCGGAGGCTTGTAGACTACCACAATGACTAGGTTTTGGTTCTCGACCTTTACTGCTAAAACTTCCACTACATCATTTGAGGCATTAAGCAGTTCTGTGCAAACAAGTGACTCTGCAATGTACAGGCCAACCCCCCCCCCTTTTGCCTGTTCACTCTGTCACATCTGTATAGGTTGTAACATGGGATCCATATTTCGTTGTCCAAGTGATCCTTTATGTGGGTCTCAGTGAAAGCCGCGAACATTGCCTTTGCCTCTGCAAGCAGTCCACGGATGAAAGGTATTTTGTTGTTTGTTGCTGGCTTTAGACCCTGTATATTTGCAAAGAAGAATGTTATCGGACTGGTGGTATTGTTGGTACTGGGGGGGGGGGATTTTTTTTTCCGGCATTAGTATCTGTATCTGTTGGTTTGGAGTGGAGGCCATCGACCGTGGTTCCATTCCAGGAATGACTGGATTTGGTGTACGATTTCTGCCATTTCCTGCCAGTTTTTTTCCTTCCTGGCACTAAAAAACCTCTCCCTCTTGAGTGGCTGTGGCTACCCAGGTTTTCCCATGGCCTGGATGTTTTGTATCTTTTTGTCCCCTTTAGATGGTATGCCTGGCAATTTAAGTTATAGCACAGTCTTTCCTGTACTGAAGAGGTACACAGTTCAGGGTGAAAATGCTTACAGGAAGGGAGTTTGCATTTTCCTGTTGTCACATGGGCATGGCATTTTCTAGGGTGGTCATAGTTGCACGTCCCATCTGTTTTTCCAGATTTCCCATGTCTGCAGATACCAAGTGCATAGTATGTGCACAGGCTTGGTTTCCGTTTGCCTCTCGGTGTATATAGAGTGAAAATTCACTTAGAAACTCACCTTTGTGTATATGAAATGATACTCGCTTATCTGCGTATATCCAATGAGAACGAGACACACCTCGCTGTGTATATACACTAAGCGATACACACTACTGGGTGTGTATACACTGAGAAATACAGTTCTAGGTGTATATACGAAGAGATACACACATATATGTATATCAGTATATACGCTAAAGATGTACATCTCTCTGTGTACTTACTGAGAGATACACATTTGTCAGTGTATGTATACCGAGAAATATTCAACCTGTGTTTATGTACACTGACAGACATAACTCTACCTGAATGTACAACGAAATTTGTACATTTCTCGACATAAAATCAATGAATAAATGGAGCACATATTACATGATTACACTACGTGACTACAGACCCTCTCCCACTTAATCCGAGTTCCTTTCCGACCGACCAGTCGAATCTTGAGATGGAAGGATTTGGGAATTGTGTCATGATTATCTCGTATTTTTTTTTATCAACTTGCTTTAGTTAACTTAAGTTTCATTATTCACAAAGTGATATTCATTACTTGTACTGATCATTCATAACATTCACAAATAAAAATACCGAATGGAATGAAGCCTAAGCTAGACTTATTAATTTACGATCCCCCACCATCACCACCACCACCAATACCACCATTACCACCACCACCATCACCATCACCACCATCACCACCACCACCACCACCCTCACCATCACCATCACCATCACCACCACCACCATCATCACCATCACCACCACCACCATCACCACTACTACCACCACCACCACCATCACCATCACAATCATCACCACCACCATCACCATCACCATCACCACAACCACCATTACCATCACCACTACCACCACCACCATCACCACCACCATCACCACTACCACCATCACCACAAACACCATCAACATCACCATTACAACCACCATCACCACCACCACCACCACCACCACCACTGTTACAAAAAACGCAATTTCTAGCATCCAGCCTGTTACTGGGTGTTTGTAACAAGTAGTCAGTATCCTGGTCCAATTATCCATTAAAATTTAGTAAGATTCAATAGTGCTTCAGGATTACGACTGGTAAGCTACTAACTAAAGAAATTAAACTTTAATAAGTTCATTAAATTACTAAATTACTAAATTACTAAATTACTAAATTACTAAATTACTAAAATTACTAAAATTAATAACAATAAAGTTGTCTAGGCGTATAATGTCAAAGTAAATTATAGTAATCAATTGAATATAATATAGGATACAAGTTCCTATACTTCTCTGGTGTACAGTAGTATTGTGCTGAAGGCACATATCACATCTGTATGGCTTTTAATTAAGTACCGTCTGGTACATTGTTAGCATTTAATAACATAATACAAATATATACAAGTAAGTTTGTGTGTATGTGTGTAAGTGCTGTAAGTAGTTCGCTATGTCTCAAGACTCGATTAGACTTAACCAGTGACTGACTAAAAATCCTCACATAAACTAACTTCTTGACCAACCTGGCAATCAGAACAGCTTGCTTGAACAATAAAACGACTGATAAGCCGAACAGCAATATAACAAGCAACAGCGACACAGAATCAGGAACAAGGAGATAATATAACGACACAAAGTAGGGACCATCTGCAGATCCTCCACAAATCACAAAACTCTCATACTACTGAATCTAAGTTCAGCATTAGAAAATCCCCGACTGTGACAGTACACAGATACCAGTACAAATTAGGTCAGAAGCTACAGCTCAGGACCTGAGTTTCTCAGTGTCTATGTGACACACAACCTCAGTACAACGTCGAAAATCATTAAGTCTAGGCTATGTTCTGAGAACAGAGTTACACAGAACTAACAACAAGAAAGCAACAGAGACAATCTTCCAACAATGGCCAGCAAGGGAGCTGGAGAGGCACGTCTTGTTGGAAGGCACGTCAAACAGACAAGAAGGCGCAGGCCAGGCAGTCTCTCACTCCTGGTGAGGTGTGAGCACCCCACCCTGATCACGTGATTCTCTGTCGACTGCTGCTGCCCAGCAACACAGAAGCCAGCAGCGAAACAAGCGGAGTGAAAATTACAGTAGTTAGACAATCCTGTCAGCTACTTAACACTCAAACTATGAACACTGAATAATATATAAATGTTACATCCTACCTAATAATATAACTAAGTCAAATAATAATATAAAGCAATATATTTACGATTTAGCTAATATCGCAAATATAAGCAATATAAAATTATATGAACAAGTAATATACATTATATACATTGTGACCCATTCAGGGGTCGCAATAACCACCATCACCATCATCACCACAACCACCACCATCACCACCATCACCACCACTACCACCACCACAATCACCACTACCACCAACACCATCATCAAATTCACCAGTACAACCACCATCACCTCTATCACCACCATCGCCACCATCATCATCACCATTACAACCACCATGATCACCACTTCCACTATCACCACCACCACCATCATCATCACCACCACCATTACAACCACCATCACCACCACCACCATCAATACTACCACCACCACCACCACCATCACTTTCATCACCACCAACATCATTACCACCACCATCACTACCACCAACGCCACGACCACCACTAAGCACCAATACCACCACCATTACCACCACTATCACCACCTCCACGACTATTACTACTACCGATACCACCATCACTACCCCCAGCACTACAACTAAAACCACCACCATCATTACCATCAACACCACTACCACCACTAAGCACCACTACCACCACCACCACCACCACCACCACCACCACCACCACTAAGCATCACTACTACCTTCATCACTCGTAAGCAACATTGCCACCACCACTAAGCACTAGTACCACCACCAGTAAGCACTACCACTAAGCACCACTACCACCACCACCACCACCACCATCACTTCCATCACCACCAACATCATTACCACCACCATCACTACCACCAACGCCACGACCACCACTAAGCACCAATACCACCATTATCACCACCTGCATGACTATTACTACTACCACTACCACCATCACTACCACCAGCACTACGACTAAAACCACCACCATTACCACCAACATCACTACCACCACTAAACACTACTACCACCTCCAGTAAGCACCACCACTAAGCACCACTAACACCACCACCACCACCACTAAGCATCACTACTACCTTCATCACTCGTAAGCAAAATTGCCACCACCACTAAGCACTAGTACCACCACCAGTAAGCACTACCACTAAGCACCACTACCACCATCACCACCACACCCTAAGCATAACCACCACACTAATCATACCACCACCAGTAAGCACTACCACTAAGCACCACTACCACCACCACCACCACTACACATACTACCTCATACCACCACCTACCACACACTCAAGTACTTACACACCAGCCACCACCATTCACTCCCACATACCACTACCACCAGTACCACCACCACTACCAACCACTGAAACCTTCACCACTACCACCACCACAATACCACCACTACCAATACCACCACTACCAACACCTCCACCACTTCCACCATACCACCACTATTATCACCACCACCACAATACCACCACTACCACCACCACCACCTCCACCACTACCACCACTGAGATTAGTGTTTGTGAATATATCGCCTGTTTTGCGAATTCTAAACATTGTAAAATTCTCTCGCCAGTTAATGCATGCAGGAGATGAGACGAAGAGCTGATAGCCAGCTGCCTCAAAGCTGTCTGCCTTGGACTAAGATGTCTAGCGTTAGGTGGGCGCTAAGGTATTGTACCAATGTGGTACGGTGACAGAGCACTATGTTTCTTATACTAAGGTTCGTAGGTTTGAGTCTCCTTCGACCTGAGATTAGTGTTTGATATATATATATATAATATATATATATATATATATATATATATTATATATATATATATATATATATATATATATATATATATATATATATATATATTATATAAAGTATACATATGATAAGTATATTCATATGTATATTGTAAAATATAAGCTGCATGCTTGGATCAAAGTCTAGCGCAGCGGACTCAAGTATTGTCCATTGGTAATTGGTAAAGCACTGCGTACCTTTCAAGGTTCGTATCGAGTCTCTAGCAAGATCAGTGTTTAATAAATATATATATTATAATATATAATGTGTGTGTATTATCATTATACATACAAACAAGTGGTATTGATCAATAATAACACTGCAACTAGCCAAGGACTCGAACCCATGTTGTTTTTGGGCCGCGGTGAGGGAAAACCACATGACACTCTAACCCACAGGACCACAAAATCCTACAAGAATTACGCACCCAGCAGAATTAGGTGTTTTAAAGTGATCCGAGGACATACGGTGGTGTGAGTGCCTCTGAGCTAACTTCAATCTACTCCCCGTTAGGTGTACTAGCCTCAACAAGCAGTATTTTACATTATTGTGCCCACGAACGAGTGGTATTGATCAGTAACAACACTGCGACTAGCCAGGGACTCAAACCCATGTTGTTTTTGGGCCGCGGTGAGGGAAAACCACATGACACTCTAATCCACAGGACCACAAAATCCTACAAGAATTACGCACCCAGCAGAATTAGGTGTTTTACCGTGATCCGAGAACATACGGTGGTGTGGGTGCCTCTGAGGTGAGAGAGATACATGATAATATACACTTGAAAAATCCTAGAGGGAATAGTACCAAACTTCCATACGAAAATCACTCCCTATGAAAGCAAAAGACTTAGTAGGAGATGCAACATTCCCCCAGTGAAAAGCAGGGGCGCCACGAGTACACTGAGAGACAACACAATAAGTGTTAGGGGCCCAAGACTGTTCAACTGTCTCAGCATACATAAAGGGGAATAACAATAGACCCCCGGCTGTCTTCAAGAAGGTGCTAGAGAGGAACCTAGAGTCTGTACCTGACCAGCCGGGCTGTGGTTCGTACGTCAGTTTGCGTGTGGCCAGCAGCACCAGCCTGGCTGATCAGACCCTGATTCGCCACGAGGCCTGGTCTCAGACTGGGCCGCAAGGGTGTTGACCTCCGAAACCCTCTCCAGGTAATGGGGATATAATGTGATTGCCTCACTTTCCACAGGAGCAGTCATGACCCCTACAGGTTTATCGTTACTGCATATATGTGATACTGTAACTACTCACATCTAGGGTGAAGAGATGGAAAACATCGAAGGGGTCCTTGAGGTATATTGGAGCTCGCGTGACGAAGAGTGTTGGATCCAGGGCCAGCCAGGATGTGTAGTCGATGACGCGGTAGCGATTGTGATTAATGCTGAGGGAAGCCACACCCAGGTCACCCTCCTGCACGCCCGTCCATCACCACACCCGTCCATCACCACGCCCGTCCATCACCACACCCGTCCATCACCACGCCCGTCCACAAACCCAAAATATCAAATTTGAAAGTCAAAGAAATTCCACCAGTTATGTCAGTAAAGAGATCATTATATTATTCATGAGGAAAACAATCAACCGGAAAGGTTTATTAAACACATGGGTAATGAGAGGCAGTCAGTGTCGATCCAAAGAATGGGAAAGTTGTTGTGTTGTTAAGGCCATCAGATGAATGGTAAGGATGGACATGAACTGGGCTAGGATAGGTATTAGGAGGGAGAGTAAAAATAGGGGAGGAGTTGAGTAGGATAGAGCTTAAGAGCGATGGCAAGAATGAGAAGGGAATGACTGGTGTAAGATAGAGCTTAAGAGAGATGGTAAAAATAGGAATAGAATGGGTAGGTGAATATTTAAAAGGGAAGGTAGAAACAGGAAAAATATTAGGGTAAGATAGAGCTTAAAAGGGATAACACAAATAGCATATGACTGGGGTAGAAGAGAGCTTAAGAATGAGGAGGGGAAGTGAGGAGGATTTTTCATCTGTAAAATTATGGGAGTGTTCTTCCGCAGGGAGGGCGAGGAAAGTGTGTGACAGCAGCCTTTCCCGCCATATAAACTCAAGCAGACATCCCTCTTTGGGGACAAACTGTTGAAGGTTGACACCCATTCTGTCAGCGAGTGGTGATCTAAGCTATTATCAGGGAATTATTTATAGTTTGAATTGATAGTTCTTCATTAACTATTTAGGAATAGTTACTATAATGTAGATCATGCGCAAAGTCGCAGCAAGATGTGCCGATAGACGCATATTGAAGTTAGATTTAGATTTTAGATTTTACCATTGAAGAGTCCAGTTTATTTTAGGTACTGACATCAGGCGCGTGTCCAGCCAGGGGTCTATTGGTAATTCTCCTTCTGTATGCTGGGAGGCAGTTGAACAGTCTTGGTCATCTGACACTTACTGTGTTGTCTCTTAGAGTACTCATGACACCCCTGCCTTTCATTGGTGGGATGTTGCACCGACTGCCGAGTCTTTTGCTTTCCTAGGAAGCAATTTGCGTGTGCAGATTTGGGACTAATCCTTCAAGAATTCTCCAAGTGTATGTTATCATGTACCTTTCTCGCCTACGTTCCAAGGAGTACAGGTTAAGGGGCTTCAACCGTTCCCAGTAAATTCGGTGCTTTATTGTACTTATACGTGCAATGGAAGTTCTCTGTATATTCTCCAGGTCCGAAATTTCGCCTGACGTGAAAGGGGCTGTTAGTGTACGACAATAATACTCCAGCCTACAGAACACAAGGGATAACAATAACATTAAGAAGTTTATTTTAGCATGATACATGTTTGTACAAAGGAGTGTAACAATTTGGTGAACATGGCAAAAGCCCCTTTATATGTAGAGCATTTCGGGCAAACTTAAGACTAACTTGAGAATAATAAGGCAATAACAGTGCTGTAATTTTACATATGGTCATAAGGTGAGTTACAGTGAGGAGAAGAAAATGGAATATTCAATTAGTTCACTATATGGTATTAGTAAGTTCGGTAGAAAATAATTAGTTTTGATATAGTATATAAAAATACAATATTATAATTTAGCACAATTTAAAGAATTTTAAGTTAGAAGTAATGATTAAATAGTTGAGCAGTCATATATTTAGGAGTTTTTTGAGTAACTTTTGGGTAACTGATAGGTGTTAGTAAAGAGTTTTTCTGGTTAATTTTGGGTGATGAGGGCTTTTTTAAGTAGGGCCTTAAACTGATTTTCAGAAAGAACCTTGTAGTGTGTTCTGGCAAAGAATTCCAGATCTTCGGGCCCTGTATAGTTGTGGATGGTTTGGTTAGTATTGAGAGATGAGATGATTTTTAAGCATTGCCCTAAATTTGTATGTTGTCAGGTGAGCAAGGAAGCACTTATGAAGAGATTCAGGGAAATCAGTTTGCCAGATTTAAGTCATGGAAGTGAAAAGTAATGTGCCTGCACTTTGAAGGAGAGGTGTGGATATTGCAGTGTGGAGGGGCATCTGAATTATAGTATCAGCACATCTCTGGCAAAACAGTGATGGAATAAGTGATGGTGAAAGTTTTTCTCCCTTTTCAGATCACCTACCTCGGTGGGAAATGGCTGTGTTCAGAAAAGTCCAAAAATTTTAAATGTTTCGAAGTGTAACACAAATATTGTTTTAATAATCAAGGATATGTCAAGATTATTCTAAAAAGGCATAAGTATGTAATATACAGTGGAAGCATTAACAGTATGTATATTCACTGTAGAATGCATGAGAAGATACATCCAGGATTTATGTCCAATCACATCAAATATCCCCGAGAAATCTTTGCAGTATTATCTGGGCCCTCTCACCCTCCCATGCTAACCTTAATCACGTGTGCTGCGTCACCTGTGCTTTGCTGCTGCTGCTGCTCCAGTAGCTTCTGCTACAGCTCCTTCACAGACATTTACAGCCTATCAGAGTTTAGTGTTCTTATTTACCGACGGAGTGTCCCTGGTGTTCGGGTCCTACCTGGGCTCCAAGTGTATGGCTATGTGCTTTCGATAGAGTTCCACATCAGAGGCTATTAAGGAAACTTAAGACACACGGAATAGGAGGAGAAATTATTTCCTGGGTAGAGGCAAGGTTGACAAATAGGCAGCAAAAAGAGAGTTTGCATAAATGGGGAGAAATCAGAATGAGGCATGTCACTTGCGGTGTTCCACAGGGGTTAGTATTTTGGCCCCTTGTTGTTCACAATCTACATAAACGACATAAAGAGGGAATAAATAGCGACATAAATAAATTTGCTGATGACACCAAAATAGGCCGTCCAATTCATTCTAATGACCGTAGAGCACTCCAGTATGATTTGAATAGAAAACCATTTATCATACGTGATTTGAATAGACTGATGCAGTGGTCGGGGAAAAGGCAGATGCAGTTTAATATAGATAAATGCAAAGTTCTAAATGTTGGACAGGAAAATAACCATGCCATATATAAACTAAATAATGTATATCTTAATATTACTGATTGCGAAAAGGATTTAGAAGTTCTGGTTAGTAGTAATCTGAAACCAAGACAACAGTGCATAAGTGATTGCAATAAAGCTAACAGAATCCTTGGTTTCATAGCAAGAAGTATAAATAATAGAAGTCCTCAGGTTGTTCTTCAACTCTAAATATCTTTGGTTAGGCCTCATTTAGATTATGCTGCACAGTTTTGGTCACCGTATTACAGAATGAATATAAATGTACTGGAAAACGTACAAAGGAGGATGACAAAGTTGATCCCATGTATCAGAAATCTTCCCTATGAGGATAGACTGAGGGCCTTGAATTTGCACTCTCTAGAAAGACGTAGAATGAAGGGGGATATGACTGAGGTGTATAAATGGAAAACAGGAATACATAAAGAGGATGTAAATAGCGTGCTAAAAATATCTAGTCTAGACAGGACTCGCAGCAATGGCTTTAAGTTGGAAAAATTCAGATTTAGGAATTGTGGATGAGTGGAACAAACTCCTGAGTACCGTCATAGAAGCTAAGACGTTGTGTAGTTTTTAAAATAGGTTAGATAAATACATGAGTGGGTGTGGGTGGGTGTGAGTTGGACCTTACTAGCTTGTGCTGCTAGGTTAGATGCCGTGCTCCTTCCTTAAGTGTATGTGACCTGACCTGACTAGGTTAGGGCATTGGCTTAAGCCAGTAGGAGACTTGGACCTGCTATGCATGGGCCAATAGGCCTGCTGCAGTGTTCCTTCTTTCTTATGTTATTATGTGCATACCATTTTTGCATAGGGAGAGACAGACAAGAGGAACATCGAGAGTGATTTTTGCCTTGTGTTATACCTGTGTGTTCTGTTTAGTTATCAAAGAGGAGTTTGAGAGGAGAGTTAATATTTGAGTATAACGTTGTGTGTGTGTAGCAGGCACAATAATAATTGTGAATGTTTGTATATTAAACAAGTTAAGGCTCTTAAAAAGCAGCGGAGTGTGCTGTGTTGTGCAGGAGTTGGTAATAAATCGCTCTGCAGTTGTTTGCTGGGTTATTAAAAGTTTAAGGTGATTTGCTGTTGTTGAGCCCCTTGCACAAATACCATAGATGAGATAAGGATAAATGAGAGATTAGTAAAGAGCAAGAAGAGCTGTTTGGGGTACATAGTATCGTATCTTTGCAAGGATGCTTACTGTTTTGGAGACTTTCTTGGATAATTTTTTTTTTATTTAAAACACAGAACAAATACAATAATGTATAATAGTATAAATTAAAATCCATACTAATTTTATAAAACTCTAGTACAAAATTTCCCGGAAACATTTAAAAAAACCCCATAGATCATGGCCATATTACAACCATAACATAACCCACAACATATAATAACCCACAAACCATTTACATAACCCACAACCAATTACATAACCCACCAACCAAAATAAAACATAACCCACAACCATAAACATAACCCACAACCATAACAAAACCCCACAACCATATCCCATATACCTCCCAAACCCTCCTTTTACAATAATCATTATTGCCAGTGCAGACACAGCTGACACTTCTACCCCCCCCTCCGTTATGTACGGGTCCCCGTTCTAAATAACATACATTAATTATCCTAATGAATGGTCATACACTGCCCTTTCATCAAAATCTTAATGAGTATTTACCTAAGAGTTGGTAGTGCATCAACAAGACACAAAAGATAAATTTACAGACTAAAACAGAATGAAACATTACGTTCCTATACACATACACTGTAATAAGTAGAAGAATATACACCACCAATATAATATCAAATATTAATGTTAACCATGAATTACAAACTTTCAAAACATTGCATATCGTGAAGTTCACGCTCAAAATGCAAGATAATACACCACATGCTACATTAACGGTACAATACTAGGCTATGTAAATAATTTAAAAAACCCAAGACTACAACATTAATAAGTATTATCCAAAAGGTT